CCATCCCGCGCTCAGAAGCAGGGACAGGGCTTCTCCTCCTCCCCAAGGCGTCAGATGCCGCCAGGGCTCCCAGCACTGATCGCGTCCCACCTCCCAGCCACTCCCTCACTCCTGCCAGGCTTCCGTCCAGCACCCAGCCAGAAACCCAGGAAACACCAGACATTGCACATGTCCGGTATTTTCTGGATTTTTTTTACCGGACAGAGAACCCAAAAACCGGACTGTCCGGTAGAATATCGGACACCTGGCAACCCTAGCTAGGGCCACCAAATTTGGTAGGCAGGTTCCTCTTATCCTAACTTAAAGCAAGGTCAGGGTTTGGTTATGCCTCAGCTCTTCCTCCCCCCACACTCCGATTGATATGGGGACACACCAGGTGAAAAGGGCTGGCTGGAGGTGCGCCAACCCCCATCTGGAAATTAACCTTCCACCTCCAGGTGCCCTTTAGAGAGGGTGGGGGGACTGCAGTTCCCTCCCGTCCCCCGATTCAAACAAGAACATTGCTGGCTGTTCCCCTTCATCAGGGAGCGAGGGCAAAGTGCACAGTTTGCTCCATTCCTTAATCTGGCTGGGGATCACAGGGGGCAGATGAAACTGGACTTGCCCCAGGTAGGGGACCAGCCCCAGTGTGGAGCTGCAGTGGGTATGAAGAAGCACTTCCAACTTGGCCCCAAGCAGCTGTGGTGAGAGTGGATTGGGTTTGTCCCCCTACAATGAGGCAGCCTACATACTGAACCCCTCCTCCCCAGCCTCACCCCAGAACAATGATTTAAATGAAGAAAAACAAAAATTAGTTAAGGACCCGAGTAATACCAGGTAAATCGTCCATATATTTGGGGGTGTGAACATATTAATAATAAAAACCAGAAGCAAATTGTTGCTGCTTTAAAGCTTAGAAACCGGGCAACATATTTTTTCTTTGTAATAGAAAATGGTCAGGACAGGCCCATGTTTATTGGGCACACATACACACATTCACGCAAATACACACATACACACTCAGGACGCTGAATGACAATCTACTCCACCACTGACACCAGATGCTGTTAGAACAAATCTCATTGGCTGAAAAAAAATGGAACATAGTTATTTAGCACCTTCACAAAGCTGAGAGCTTTTCCAAATTAACCCGTTCCTCAGCGTCACATACCCTATAACGCTGATACAACCTCGTTCAAATAATTTGTCTACCAGAATGAAAGACATAAAACCTGTTCAGGTAGCAAACCTAGTTAGTAGAGTGTAAATCTTCAGTTTTGCAGGATCTTTCTCCATGTTTGTTTTTATCTTGGTTTCGGTTTGACCAGAGGGGATGGAGGAGGAGGAGGAAGAGGAAGAGGAAGAAGAGGAAGAGGAGGAAGACAGAGATACAGACTCGATGGAGGAAAGCCTGGAGGGTGATACGGAGCTGCCAGGTTTCACTCTCCCTGGTGAAACGTCTCAGGAGCCCATAGCGGGCATAGGAGACTCTGCAGCACAGCTGGCCGGGGTGTCATACCAAGTTCCAGACACTATTGAATGGGAACAGCAAAACCAGGGCCTTGGTAAGAGCAACTCTTCTTTCTTTCAGAGCGTGTGCACTTTGTTTTGCTCAGAACCCTGCTGGGCTGTATACTTAACCTCATTCACTAAATCCTTCACTGTAGTTAATGCAAGCGTAACTGCCACCAGGTGGATTTGAACCTAGGACCTCTGAAGCCTGTTATAGGAGCCTCTACTCTCTGAGCTAAAAGCCAGCTAGCTCCCAATTCATGCTGTAGAGGTCTCTTGATCCTCACTGTTGCTGTGGTCTAGGTGCCACTACATGGGATGGTGAGCCACACTAGGGCTATGTCTACACTGGCGGGTTGTTGCGCCAGAAGTATGCAAATGAGGCTAAGTGTGGAATATCACCGAGCCTCATTTGCATACCTAATGAGCCACCGTTTTTGCGGAAGAGGCTCTTGCGCTAGAAGGAGCTGTCGACACTGCTCCTTCTTATGCAAGAAAAGCCCTCTTGCGCAATGCCGCTACGATGATTATTTTCAGGAACAATGGCAATGCGCAAGAGGGTTTTTCTTGTGCAAGAAGGGGCAGTGTAAACAACTCCTTCTAGCGCAAGAGCCTCGTCCGCAAAAATGGCGTCTCATTCGGTATGCAAATGAGGCTCAGCGATATTCCACGCTTAGCCTCATTTGAATACTTCTGGCACAACAACCCGCCAGTGTAGACATAGCCTGCACGTGTGGGTTACATAAGTACAGGCAGTCCTCAGACAATTGGCTCCTGAAAATTGTGTCGTAAGTCCAAACAGTGTAATTAAGAACCACAATCCACTCCATTGCGGGACCAAGTGTTGTAAAGTCGAAAACAACCTTGTAAGTTGAAGCAGGGTGTCCATTCAGAAAGCTGTGACATTGTCCTAAGTCAAACACCATAAAGTTAAGGACTACCTGTATTTCAGGTGGACACCGGTATAACCAGATCAGAATCTGGCTCTGGGTGCCCAATCAAATAATCTCCCATTTAATGGAGAACCCACTCGTTGTACTGGTCCTACCCCTTTGTTTCCAGAGCTTAGCTATGGATTACTCTGCTGACACACTAAGGTTTTCCGTTAAAAGCATTTTCGGAAAAGAGCATCTAGATTGGCACGGACGCTTTTCTGCAAAAGCACTTTTTGCGGAAAAGCGTCCGTGCCAATCTAGGCGCGCTTTTCCACAAAAAAGCCCTGATTGCCATTTTCGCGATCGGGGCTTTTTTGCAGAAAACAAATCTGAGCTGTTTACACTGGCCCTTTTGTGCAAAAGTTTTGCGCAAAAGGACTTTTGCCTGAATGGGAGCAGCATAGTATTTCCGCAAGAAGCACTGATATCTTACAGTAGGAAGTCAATGCTTTTGCGGAAATTCAAGTGGCCAGTGTAGACAGCTGGCACGTTTTTCCGGAAAAGCGGCTGATTTTCTGGAAAAACTGGCCAGTCTAGACACAGCCTCGCTGGCTAATGGTAAGCCCTGCAAACTGAGGCCAGGTCTACACTAAGGGACAAAGTCCAACTAAGATACACAACTCCAGCTGTATCAATAGTATAGCTCAGTGTTTCTCAACCTTTTTTTTATAAAGTACCCCCTTTACAAAAATTGTAAGTACCCCATTTCTACCATTCCAACACATTTGTTTAAACAACTTAATTGTAGCTGGGTGGGCGATGAAATTTTTGGGTGTAAAAAGTACAAAAATAATAGAACGCAGTAAAACTTAAAACAAAAATTCAGTTTTCTCCAAATTTCAGTTGTGTTGACGTACCCCCCAGACTTCTCTCAGGTACCCCTAAGGGTACTTGTACCACTAGTTGAGAAACACTGGTATAGCTGGAGTCGATTTACCTTAGTTTGACTTACCTGTGTGGGGGTGAGGAGAGTCAATGGGAGAAACTATCCCGTCAACTTCCCTTACTCCTCACGACCCGTTGGAGTTCCACCGTCAATGGGAGCAAGCTCAGCGCTTGATTTAGCATGTCCTTACTAGACCTGTTAAATCGACCCTGTAGCATCTATCTCCTGGTAAGTGCAGACAAGTCATGAACTTCAAAGGGAAAGTTGGGCACCCTCTGCTAGGGGTGCGGCAACGTAAGGTGCAGCAACGTAAGACCTTCAAGGATAGGTACGATGGGTGGTTAATCTAGCATTTTGCTACTGCTCCTCTCATCTGCTGCTGCATTCTTTTCAGTGCCAGTTTCCTGGCATTTTATGAAAAAGTTCTACTGGTGCATGGGTCAGCGTTGGAGGCGATTAGTTCATGGTGGCACTGATGAAGGTTACAAATCAAGGCCCACATGAAGCTATAGTCAGTTTACGCCAAGTTTACGAGCCTGGATTGCATGACCAGACATCCCCATCAGGGAAAACCCCCATGCTACAGATCAGTCTCCAGGGCTTAACCCTTGCAGCTTGCACAGTCTGCAAAGTCACCAGCTGCTTGGCAACGTCTGTTGCACAAGGCAAAGCAGGGAGCTTTGAGTACTGTTCCAATATGTTCTCCAAACTGCCTTGTGTACAGCTTCAGTAGTCTGCCGCCTTATCAATAAAACTTGAATTTCCCATTTGTCTATGCTTACGCTCAACATCTTAAGCATTGAAATGGGTACTGGCAGCCATCTGAGTTGAGCCAGACCTGAGGTGGGCCAGTGGAAGATTGCAGAACAAGAGAAATGACGGAGCTTGGAGAAGCAGCAATTGCACCAGTGTCATCTTGTGCACGTTGTGGGGCCCAAACCAACTCCTATCAAAATCAGTAGGAATCTTTCCAGTGTCATGGATGGGAGACAGAACACCCTGGCTTGTGACCGTCCTGATGGGGTCTTTCAAGCAAACGATTTTCAAGTTCTTTTATCCTCAGCTTTTATCATGTATTATGTGCTGATAACTCACACTTCTGCTGGCAGTTCATTTCCCAGTAATCCCATGTTTCCAACCATTCTGGTGGTGTTCGTTTCCTTGAAGCATTTTCGAGATAGTCAACTGCCAACCTGCTGTTTCCCTGATGAGGGCAGGTGGAGTTTGAATCTGATCTGCTATCGCCCTGGGAGACTAAATCTTGCTGGGAAAGGACGTTTCATGTTTCACGTATAAAATCTGTTGCATGGATCTTATTAGCCCATTAAACTGGCCAGGCAGTGTGAAGTGTATAATTCTGATCTGTGAATTCCTTCCTAGTTAATTTTAAAGCACTGGATTGTAGAGGAATAAACTGCAAGGTTTGGAAGGGAAAGACTGTGATAGAAGAGCCTCAGGAAGCTTTTCCTTTGTTGTGTTATTTTTATGAAGTTTGGGGAGAAAAAGAGACTAGTCCAGATCCAGCATTGTGCTTCTGCTCCTTTTGGGCTGGCTTGACCAGCCCAGTTCCACCAATGAGATTACTCACATGGTTACATTTAAGCGTGCGGTTAGCCAGGAGGCATGTAGTCTAGACACACCCATGGTTACATTTAAGCATGTGGTTAGCGTGGTTCAGGGCCACAGTTCTCGACTCCTGGCAGATATTTGCATAAGGCGGAGCGAGGACCATTGTCATTATCCTCTGCAAATGTGACGTGACAGTGTGGCAGTTAAGGAAGAGGAAAGTAAGAGAAGGGGTCTAATGGAATGTCTTCCATCTGACTGGCTCTGTTGGAAGAAACAGTCTCAGAGGATTAGCCATGTTAGTCTGTACCTGTAAAAACCATGAGTAGTCCTGTAGCACCTTAGGGCATGACTGCACAAGGAAATTATTTCAAAATAACTTATTTTGAAATAACTCCCAAAACAACTGTTTTGAAATAGCCTGTCCCCACTACAGGGAAGCCTCGAAATTAGTCCAAGTCAGGCTCCCTTTATGTGGACGTGCTTCCTTGACTTAGAACCCCAGGAAGCACTGGGGAGTAATTAGTTTGAATGACTCTGGGGACTCGTTATTTCAAAATAGCAGCAGTGGAGCATCCATGCTACCGCTATTTCGAAATAAGCGTTATTCCTCGTGGAAAGCAGGAGTTATTATTTTGAAATAACCTGCCCCTTATTTCAAAATTCTTCCCTAGTGTAGACTAGGGCTTAGAAACTAACACATGTATTATATCATGAGCTTTTGTGGGTAAATCCCACTTCATCAGATGAGAGGTGTCCATGAATCTTTAACTCACGAAAGTAATTCCTCAGCAAGAAATGTAAATGTAGGTTTGCAACTATTACTTTACATTTTTCTTGAATTTACTGTATGGCCTGATGCAAAGCTCTTTCGAGTCAATGCATGCCTTTTCTTCAACTCTCAAGGGCTTTTGCATTAGTCCACACAGTAAATAATAAGGCCCCAAATAATAAGAGTGGCTTGTGTGTTCAGATTAGCATAACATACTTTATGTAGCCCTCCTGTGAGAAAGCAGCCTCAGCAGCAGAACAGGCTGAAGCATAGAATACCTGAACATCAGGCCAGAGGTACCTGGGGTGGCTTCCACCTGTAAAAGTTTGTGAGAGCCCGGCTGAGGGGACTCTTGCCGCCTGCCAGGGTTTGTTGCAGATGGTGGGGCAAAGCAAGGCAGCCTGCCGATGCCAACTACCCAGCCTGCAAACATCCTGCAGTTTAAAAACTAGTTTGGCTCACAGCACTGCAAATTTGTTTCCAGATAGGCCTGGGTTACTCCTTGCTAGGCTGTGAAGAAAGCAGCATCAGCTCACAGCTAAGCTCCTTTTCTGTGTAGCTCCCCTGCCTGGCAGCTGGTAAAGAATCCAAGGATAAAGCCAGGCAAATCAATGGAGCTACATGCCTGCTACAATCCTTCTCTCCCTCTTTCTTCTTGGTCAGTTTGATATAGGCATTTGCAGTCTCTCTCCAGCTGCAAAGTCAATGACTCATGCCCCCAACAGAGCCTGATTAGGTCACATGACTTGATGAGTCATGCCTGTGGGAGGCTGCAGCCAATCCAGAAGCCAGGAGCTGGTCTGGTGACTCACAGGGGAGGTATTTAAGTCTCCCACTAGTGCACTTCTACCTGACTGCTGTGATGTGCTGCCTCATGGCTTAGAATTAGCGTCT